TGCCCAAACAAATTTTTTACATAAACATTATATTGCAAGCTATCAGTGTTTTTCCAAGTTTGTGAAGGTAAGTAGACTATTGGCATGTTAACAATAGAAATGAAAAAACAATCTAATTGACTAACTCCATAAGTCTCTTGTTTGAAATGTCGCCATCTTTGTTCAAACGTACACGCGCGAGCTTGGAAAAAACTTCGTTGTTCTTTTCAAGTAAGTCTATGAGAGTAAGGTAGTAGAAATGGCAGTCTGTATACTTGCTATAGTTTTCTTTGACACATAGCAACAAACTTTGACAATCGAAGCTTTGGAAACAAGGATCCGGGAACTCAAGCGATCTCAACGGAAACCCAAGACAGAGAAATTGGCAGGTAGGTTTCAGATAAAATTAATTATTTTCTTCTTATCATAGCAGTCAGTTTGCATCGAATTAAACGTTTTCGGTAGGAATCTACAGTAACGGTGCGCGCGCATTTCGATTTCTCCCACGGTTATTAATGTGGACATTGCATTTGGTGTGAAATCTGTTAAAAACAACATTATTGTTGATACCAGCTGAACATTCCGTTAAAATATAAACCATAAGACAAGAATACCCCTTGTGTTCCTGTAATGTTAAGTCTGATGTTTATATAATTTTTATTTCCTCTGCGGCAGCTCATTTTGTTGCTGGGCAACAACCAACACCATAACCAAATATTTATTCTTCAGTCATTTTTGTGAGTGTAATTTTGTCTCAGTATTATTCTTTTTCTTGTCGGACTATTTCAATTATGTATCCAGCTACATGTATATTGGAACCGTGTACTGGAGCGGCGTTTATATAAGACACTTGGCCTTTTCTACCTTCCAGGTTATTGATGGAATAAAAATATTTTTAAGAAATGGTTATACATGTATCCAGCAAGGCAACACATATAGATGAAACCAGTAGTTCATGATATTCCGGTGGAAAATATTACCAATCGACATATGTTCATGATCCAAATGTGTGTCTCTTTTTGTTTTAGGCTATTGTGAGAAGAATCATGGAAAAGTTCCCGAGTACCTTGAAAATCCATTAAAAGTTACTTATTTAAGGTAAAAAACTTTACCCCAAGTTTTATTATTGCTCGTCATCATAATCAAGATATATATGTTGGTTTTATAAGATTAGAGACGTCAGTATTACAAAAATACAATTAATTCGTTTCTTGTTCACCATTGGGTAAATCTAGCATCTAATTATTTCATTGTCAGGGTATCTAGTACTAGCAGTAGAATTGACATAGCATACTATTATGTAGTGCATAATTGCTGCATAATCATGTCTGTCATGTTAATAGAAAACTTCTCACACCCTCGCAGTAATGCATATACATGTAGTTGATATACCACAATTACTTTTTACTTGGTTTTGATACATGATAATAATCAAACTTATGAATGTTTGTGTCGGATTGTAATAATCTATTATTGGACGAATGAAAATTAATTCATTTCCTTTTCTTAATAGAAACCTTTTGGATAATCTGGAGGAGCAAGACGGACGATCGACGTCGGCAGTTTACAGGAAAGAAAACACAGGAAAGATGCTAAAAGAAACAAAAAGAATCTGATCTGTAAGTTCCTGAAACTGGATTGTATAATATCATTTGTACCGGTTTATACACTTCTTGACACCAGTTTAAAACACCCTGAGTCACTGACATGATGTGCTACATATTATCACATCGCTATATACCTGTAATAGAATAACTTTCCTTATCACATGTCATTACCCATCACCGTAATGTGCCATTATCTAATTAGAACAAGTGCCGCTCTCAAGAATAAATGATGGACATAACTTTCGCAGTGCAAGAATTTCATTTTTCTCCCAGAAACTCCAACAGCTCCTGAAGAATCTAGCTGGGCAGAGAAAAGAACACAGAAGGTGGCTGCAGTCCTAACCCCATAATTGACATCGCCAGTGGTGTCTGAAGCTCCAGCGGCAAAATGAAGAACTTGCAATTGCGACACCATCCAACAAGATGCTTTCCAACCACCTAAATGTCTTAGGAATAGGATGGAATGTCTAAATGTACATTCAATTATCTCCTGTAGTCACCCTGTTTAGGACAAGAACATCTAAATTTGTTGTTTCTGAGATTAAGATTAAAAATTAATGTCCCTCGTATTACAAAATGTCAACCCTCCATAATAGTTATTTGAACAAACTACTACTCAGAGAAAATTTCAAATCCATAGGGCCTGTGATGACCATTCTCACACACACACTCACTCTCTCTCTCTCTCTCTCTCTGTGCTTCTCTGTCTCAATGTTTAATTGTAACATTGAAACATAGATATGATATGTTTATGATGAATAAAGAGAAAAAAAGAAATCGACTGACATGCCTGATTTTGTATTTATTTATTTCTAAAGATATATACAACTGTCCATGTTGGTGTTGAGGTAATTGTAGTTGAAATGAGTTTATTTGTGATTTCAATGTATCATGAATAAAACGTATGACCTAATACATTCAAATATATACAATACACTCATTTCGTGACTACAATTTTAATTCATAGTTGAATAAATCATAATTTAATATGGACATATGGTAATCCCTGAATACTAATGATTGAAACCAAATGAATCCATACAGATTCTGATTTACTGAAACTTATGGAACATGGTAAATTGCCCTGTGATTAATAGAAACGATCCCTGAAATTCACAGGGAATCATACTACCTAATTGAACTAAGTAAATACAATGTATATGAAACCATCTGAAAGTAGAGGATAAAGGGAAACCCAATGGAACCTCATAGGAATCTGCGTAACGGAAACGCACTCAGAACCATACAGGAATCTGGGTAACGGAAACGCACTGGAGCCCTTACAGGAAAAAAACGGGTGAGCATGGAAACGCACTGGAGCCTTACTGAAACTGGGTAACGGAAACTTGTCTTCTGGAGCCCTCACTGGAAACTGGGTAACGGAAACGCACTGGAGCCCTCACTGGAAACTGGGTAACGGAAACGCACTGGAGCCATGCCGGTTTCTAATTTTAATTTGTAAGTTTCCAGCAACGTTTTCCGAAAGTGGCTTGAAGGAAATGTGGAAAAATCGTTCCGTGAAACCTAGTTGAAACTTAAGTTTCCATTTTTGTTTCACCTTATATCAGGTTATCATCGGTCCGGAAACGCAGTTATTTTTAACCTTAGCCTGTGACAAGGCGCCAGGTAACCATTGTGGTGATTTCAAACAGGTGGGGTTATAATAAGGTACAACTGAACCAATCATTTGCACATCAATATCAGATAGAAAAATATAACATTATTATCGAACATTATCCAGATATGTTCAAACATACAGACGTTAAGGCCATATAATAATAATGCTAATTTTTAGCGCCTAGAATCCAACACGATACTGCTCTCTGGCGTTACATTATTACCCTGACGGAATTGTACTTTCAAAGCAGCTACTAAGCGCTTCGCGCGACCGTATAAGGTCCGTACATCCGCACATCCGCTTCTCAGGTACATTAATGGTTTGTTTAAAAAGTATTCATTGCTACGTTAAAACCGATTTCGACTCACCTATACAGAATAACTTCTCTTCCTTTATAGCATCACTGAGGGAATCGGATTCGGCAGTCACCCCTGTATTAGCTGGTGTGATCGGCTTGGTTGCTGGGATATGCCTCACAGTGCTTCTTGGAGTTGGACTATACACTGGCCTGGTAAGACAAGGGAGGTAAGTAACCTTTAGCAACACTGTCAGGATACTTTATATTATTTATGATGTACAATTCTTTCTGAATAACATGTACAACATACTAATTACTTTTCACTGTCGGCTTTGCAGATTGCAGTGGATAAACTCTTCTCAGAAGGATGAGATGAAAGTCAGGGCCACATCAACCCAAGCGGACAGGAACTCTACAGAGCCGTCAGACAACTACACATCCATATCCGAGCAGGCTTGTGGCCGCAGCATCTACAACAACGACTATTCTACACTGGACGTCGAGGCTAAGTCGAACAATGACTATGACGTCATTAAGAACAAGGCTTATGAAAATATGTAGAGAGCATATCGTAGTAACAGATTAGTTTAAATGTTAATGTAATTAAAATGCATCCACCGCATCCATAATAATATTTACAAAAACCTTGCTGTCCCAATTGGTAACAGGCTGTGCACGATATTTATGTCAATATTTGAACAGCTGACGAAGGTGAAGTCGCCTTTAGATTTCATGTCCTGCAAGTTTGAGACAAAACAATGAGTTTGGAAGCCACATGAGGGGAATTTACATCGTGATCGTCCAGGTCCACGTTCTCTAACACGTTCCTATAAGTAACAAGCATGAAATTGTGGTCTGTAGGAAAAGAACATATTTGGTATTTAATGAAATCTAAAATATTTTGGCCCATTTTGGAAATGTTATTTTTGCCTCTTGATAGTGCTTAACTTTAAGGCGTCAATTCCCGTGCAGTCTTTGTCTGTTTCAATAGTCTGTTCTTGCTTTGGATAAAACCTTACTGTCTTGTCGATACCGTGGGCTTTTGTTGTTTGTAGATCCACCCATCTGCAAACTTTGGATAAAGCCTTACTATCTGTTGATACCGTGGGCTTTTGTTGTTTGTAGATCCACCCATCTGCAAACTTTGGATAAAGCCTTACTATCTGTTGATACCGTGGGCTTTTGTTGTTTGTAGATCCACCCATCAGCAAACTTTGGATAAAGCCTTACCCACTGTCTTGTCGATACCGTCGGCTTTGGTTGTTTGTAGATCCACCCATCAGCAAACTTTGATAAAGCCTTACTATCTTGTCGATACCGTGGGCTTTGGTTGTTTGTAGATCCACCCATCAAGCAAACTTTGGATAAAGCCTTACTGTCTTGTCGATACCGTGGGCTTTGTTGTTTGTAGATCCACCCATCAGCAAACTTTGATAAAGCCTTACTGTCTTGTCGATACCGTGGGCTTTGGTTGTTTGTAGATCCACCAGCAAACTTTGGATAAAGCCTTTGTCTTGTCGATACCGTGGGCTTTGGTTGTTTGTAGATCCACCCATCAGCAAACTTTGGATAAAGCCTTACTGTCTTGTCGATACCGTGGTTTGCTTTGGCCTTGTTTGTCGATACCGTGGGCTTTGGCTGTTTGTAGATCCACCCATCAGCAAACTTTGGATAAAGCCTTACTGTCTTGTCGATACCGTAGGCTTTGGTTGTTTGTAGATCCACCCATCAGCAAACTTTGGATAAAGCCTTACTGTCTTGTCGATACCGTGGGCTTTGGTTGTTTGTAGATCCACCCATCAGCAAACTTTGGATAAAGCCTTACTGTCTTGTCGATACCGTGGGCTTTGGTTGTTTGTAGATCCACCCATCAGCAAACTTTGATAAAGCCTTACTGTCTTGTCGATACCGTAGGCTTTGGTTGTTTGTAGATCCACCCATCAGCAAACTTTGGATAAAGCCTTACTGTCTTGTCGATACCGTGGGCTTTGGTTGTTTGTAGATCCACCCATCAGCAAACTTTGGATAAAACCTTTACTGTCTTGTCGATACCGTGGGCTTTGGTTGTTTGTAGATCCACCCATCAGCAAACTTTGGATAAAGCCTTACTGTCTTGTCGATACCGAGGGCTTTGGTTGTTTGTAGATCCACCCATCAGCAGACTTTGGATAAAGCCTTACTGTCTTGTCGATACCGTGGGCCTTTGTTGTTTGTAGATCCACCCATCAGCAAACTTTGCTGGGTGCGGTTCAATTTCATTTAATTATCTAGAGAATTGTTTTGTTCTCACTTCTGTGCAGTTCGGGTGGTTCCTTCTTCGTCCTTCTTGCAGCCAAGGCTGCGTGGACGCCTCTGGTGTGCAAGTTGGCAGTTCGTTGGTTAGAAATACTGTCAACGTATTTTTATTTTTTGTCTTTACATCCATTTTATGGTGTACATAATAGTTGAATCCATTTTGTAAGGATGGCTACATTTAAGGTTATTATTGGAGATGTGTGGTCCTTTTGCATAGAGCTCAGGTCACAAATCAGGTTAAGCAGCGTTGGGTGCGGAGAGTCCTAAGATGGGTGACCGTGTGTGACAGCTTGACTCCTGAGAGTTTCTAGGACACCAGTCCTGGACCACAACGAAGCACATGTAATACATGTGGTCCCACCTGAGGCAAGTGAGTTTGTTCAAACTTGCTTCTGTTCATCCAGCAGAAACTGGCTACCCGGTGGGCAGCTTGGGTTATCCGGGGTAATAATGATAAATCGTGCGCTTTGAGCAGCAGGATATCTAGCCTGGAAAAGGCGCATTATAAATCTTCTCATTATTATTAATGCCGGCATATTTTTATCTATTAACCTAATTTTAAGATGCCTAGCTGTTAAAAACAATCGAAAACCACATTATCAGACAACAAAGGTATAGTTTTTGATGACGTAACAATTGAATGACGTTATCCCGTCACAGCGCCATTCTAGTGCGCCCTCGTAATCGAACCATTTTACCATTACGTCACAATGTAAGAGACGTCACGATGCATGTCAGTTGTCATCGCCTCGTAATGGCCTCCTACAGTAAATGAAATTTCTATCGTTTGAGCTGGGTGAATTAGATAGAAATTGATTTCTCTTTAGGGACAAACCAGATAAAAAGGGGAGGTAATGCATGGTCTAGAGGGCACTGTCAGATATGTCTATAAATGTGACGTCATAGCGCGGTAAGTTCATTCTCGGCTGCGACACCAGTACTGAACATATTGATTTGTGACAATTTAAGGTGCTGCAAGAAGAGATGATAATGAGAAACACTGCTGCAGTGTTGTCATACCTACGCTTGTAGGTGGAGAAGATGTTACAGTAGCATCTGATGTCTACAGTGATAATATGCGTACTTTTTCTTCTAGGGTGCAAACGTAGAAACTGCCTTGCAGGAAGGTCAATCTGCTTGAATGAATGTTTGCGTGGAACAAGACGGTGAGGCGTAAATCATCACTGTGATGTGATGTACCGCGTACAGTTTGAATAAACGCCTCGGCAAGTGTCGCAGGGGACTTTACACTGATGTTTGTTCTTTTATCTGGTTTGTGTTGGTGGTAGAAGGAGAAACTACTCCGTTGCATCCTGTTTCTTGGTTTGCGTGTAGCTTCACTCAGCTAACATCACTGGTGGAAACATTACGTTTATGTTTTACGACGGTTAAAATGTGTCCAATTCGACTCACAAGCTTTCAGCGACACGGTAACTCTCGTATTGTTTACATTCCCACAATGCACTATTCAGCTTCCTCTGGATGTACTGGATCTAAACTTACGCTGGTAGTAGAAAATGCAACGTTCATATCGCCCTATATGGTTTACGCTAATTACAGATGCTAATTAAAATAATTCAAGAGAAGATATTTAATCCGGCAGCGTAAACCGTCATCAAACTGTTATCATTTGTTTTTCTGGTAACGTTCGTCTTAACGTGAAAGTGGGGGGCAGACATATCAATAGAACAGCGCCCCAGTTAGCCCTGTGTGAGGATTCTGAATTTTAGGTCACCGACACCGTCGTTTGTTGTCTGGCTTAAATTAATCGTAATTATCCTTAGAAAGTATTAAATTTTGCATCTTAGAAGAATACAGTTCGCTCTACCACCATGTATAGTGTAATAAAGCACCTTCGCCCTCGACTATTATATCGTTAATGCACCGGACGCGAAGGTCCTCATAATTTTAACTATAATAGTTCAGGGCAAAAGTGTGCTTTATTACACTCCACAAGGTGGTAGAGCCGAATCGTATTTCTTAATTTCATGCACATTTTGGTTTGAATCAGAATTAAAATGATGGTAGACACAACTGAAAATACATTTGCTTTACCACTCTCTTTTCTCCAAGAAGACTTGTCACCCTCTTGATGCTTGCTGTGTGCGAAAATACGACAAACCAAAACAAAAGGCGCGCGTAGTGATTGCGTGATGCTTTGTTTAACATAATCCCGAGTACGTAACTTGTTTATGGTAATTTGTGAATGTTTCTTAAATCTTGAAAATGATATGTCTTCATTTTGAAAGTACAAATGACATAACTAATAGGAATTGTATTGCCTCATGTGAAGTTAATAAAAAACAGAGCCATGAATGGTGAGAGATTCAAATTCACGCACGTGCGTTTCTTTATTTAACGGCTCACCAGGGCCCACTTGACCTTTTCTACCGATCTTGCGGGTATGTTTTTGTGATTGTACGTGCGCATTCCGGTAGTTTTCTTTATTTGACATTTTTCAAATTTGAGTTATTTATCACTACGAGTTTCAAAACAATATATTTAACTTTAACTTAACCAATAATAAGTTTGATTTAACATTGGGTTTTACACTTCCCATATATATTCTAGTGTGACGTTTCTAAGGGTCATTCATATTTCATGTCATATAACAAACAAAACAAACAAATAAATAAATAATGTACGAGTGACTCGGTGATATTAAATACTATTACTGCAATGAAACAGGAAAATAGTGCTTGTTTGAAGTAGTTCCAATATTCATACGCCAATATGAAATCCTTCTAGAGAGGCACGAGTCGCTAAATGTGTTCAGTCAATATTATAACATTGAAAGCCACAGTAAAACTCTCCTGCACAGGTTTATGGCGAAAACCGATGTGTGCGATGCAGTTCCCAATTTTGACTTGTTGCCATATATTTATGCGTATTTTCAGTGAGTGAGGTGAGTGAGAGTGAGGTTAATATTGAACGTCACATCGGCAATATTTCAGCCATATAGTGACGAGAAATGTTTTATGTAAATAATGCGTATTTTCAGAACAACTGACTTCTTTGAGTGGCATTTTAGTAGGTTGAAGTCAGATAGAACAAGTATATATGGATGACAACTTCTTTATTACTTGATCAAGACGTCTCGATACAGGTTATTGTATATTCATGCTTGAAAACGATACAAGAACCTATATCGAAACGTCGATGCCCAAGAATGATAGAAGTTGTTATCATCCATAACATACTGTTCTATCTTGTGAGAACAACTGCCTTTAGACATGCTTTGTTTTTGACGGACGCCATCGGTGGGTCAGGATATCCTTCACCTTTTCGCGAATAGCTGCATCATCACTATTTCATAGTGATTCCTTAAACATATAACTCATGACATGGTCGATTGTGTTGCTTTCAGTAAGTTGATTTGTTGGTTGCAAGAACTGATTACAGTTGATTGTAATAGACAACATTCAATCTAGAAAGAGAGATCTATAATTTAGCTTCTAATATTTTGGAAAATAGATAAGAAAGCAGTAATAGTATACGATTCAAAACTATCACAAAGGGCAGGATATACAGGTCAGGGGAACCACGTTACAGACAGTCCAGAAAACAACTAGGCACTCAGGAATCGTAGTATGGGCTCACTCATCGCATATGAACTTTCGTTACAATCCAGATGATACGTACATACAGGCCAACTCTGTCATACATGTCATTTTAACCAAGCTAAACCAATGAATAAAGTCTGATAATAGTTTACATTGTGGTCATATCTTTAATCGCTGATTGAATAGTATCGCAGGATGTTCCTTTAAAACTGAATCTTATCACTTTCTTCATTGCTCGATAAATATGATGGGTTTAGAAGTGATAATAGAGATTAAGGCGTTGGCATTTGACAAGGTGCTGACTACAATTTGACACATCGGAATCAGTTTCCGAATCATATGATTCCAGTGATTCGTGTTTAGAGCGTTGCTACCCTCATTGTATACTGAGATATGCGCTTTGCATTAACCTTTGGGGAAAAAAATAGTGATGAGAAAAGAATGATTGTTGAAATGAAAAATCAGTAAAAAAGGAAAACTACTAATCTCTTTGAGGAGAGCCAGTGTATATCTCTTTCAATATATGTTTGTGTATGTAAAGTAACATTTTTTGGATTAAACATTTGATTGTTTGTTATTTAGATTTCTCATTGGAAAATGTAACGCGATAACAGTTGATGACACGTCAGCTATGGGGTCGGACATGTTTTCAGTAAGTCTCTGAGAAGTCATGTAAAAGGATATAAAAACCCACCCTTAAACTGGATTCCGGAAGTAGTGACATTATGGCATGCCATATTAGAAAGTGACTTTTGATTCACAGGTGCTGGATTTTGTGAAAGGTTATGTATCTCAAACTTTCTTAGATGGAGTTGGATTGTATTTGGAACACTTCCAACGAGGTAAAGGATAGTTGTCGCCATTGTGGGATGTCTCACCCAACTCCTGCTCGCATTCACTGAACTATGTGCTGCTTTACTATTGAAAAAGAAGCACTTTTAAACTAACTGAAGGAAACGATATAAATGGTCAAAAATCTTTTGGGTGAAAACTTCCACTCATGAGAACTGCCTGCTTTATAACGGTATTTCTGGTCATGGGCCTGTCCATATGTCTAAAACGGCTCCAACAAGAAAAGACCGAGATATTTAACATCCAATACATCTGTCTCGTCTATCAACAGTCCACAGTGACAATTTACCCCAAAGGTTACATAAAAGTCTCATGACGGTCTTTGGTATGTTTCTGTATGGCTTGACCTCTGATATTGACTCCCCTGGTTTTACTCAGCCCAGGTGCGTGATCCATTGAGAACCTATCAAGAATGTCGCAATCGGGAGATTGTGAGTATAGTTTCCCAGTGTAATAACTGCAATGTTTTCTACCCTAATGTAATTTAAGTGAAAAATTCAAATGCTGAAGGCCGGTGAGGTTTAACTTTAGGAATGGCCAGCCAGTCCCTAACTTGACACACAGAAGGAAACATACAACAAAACATTTTTACTTATATCATTAGAAAGATCTCAAGGAGATGAATCCAAAAATTATAATGTGCAAGTGTGTCTATGTGTCTTCATAAGCTCACAAATTGGTTCTGAAAATGAATTTCTGCAGAAATTTCTGGCAGACTTTTACTTTCCCGTAGAAATTTCCTTTGGCAGAAAAGATTTACAATATGGTCTATGTGCCTCTATTTGCTTCCTATAATCACCCTAACTGGACAATGGAACACTGGATTGTATATGGCAGATGTATAATCCTTGAAACCACATAAAGCAGAGCCTTCATTGTTGTACATCAACACACCTTAAAAATTATCTAAATGAATTGCTCTTTGTGAGATTCTACTTTTTAAATTATCTAATTTGCAGTGTGCAGGTAAATGTGACTTTCAAATATGTAACAGCCTTTTCATGGAGCCAATAAAATATAAGAATACTCTGGTGAACTCCAACAATTCAATCACACATAGAAGATTTAAACATCAAACATGATGAAAATAACACAAACAAGGTCACATGTCTCAACATAACTGTATGTATTGGTTGCATAAAATGCCATGAAAGACCAACTTACAGTTACACATGCTGTACATTATTATCTATATAAATTATACAAATGTATGTATATTCCAAACAGAAAAAACATACACTTTGGTGTATTTGGTTTTCTTTATGGCAGTCTGGTTGTAACAAAAGAACAAAAATTTAACACTTTGACAAAATTATAACAAGAATAATAACATGTAAATAACGAAACTTAAATATTGTAGGTGAGGGACATACATCAGAACCTGAGATTTCTTGTGCAGATGTCGGTTTCATTGTGGACATCTTCCAAATATGTTTCAACAAAACGCAAATTTCTCAGTTATTTCAACATCATCATTATTTTAGATTTGACTATCCAAAGAAAAGATTATATAAAATGTTTAATGTCATCGAAAGTAAAATGTATGAAAGTTGAATTGTATCATGTGACAATTAGTGACAATACTGTGTTACAAGAGAGCTATAAGATGTTTATATCTTAAAACTAAATAACTTTTGTGATAATTAGGTTTTCGAGTTGCATTCAAACCATGACATCAATCACATATTCAATTTATACCTCAATTATAACACAATTTGATCAATGGTACATAAAAAAAAACATGACAAATTCCAAGAAAGAAGGAATTTTCTAACCATGACTGGGGACCATTATGTTTTTTACCTATTGTTACCTAGACAGGGATATTTACAAGGAGAATAAAACAATACCAGACTTAACAACTATTCTCAACAAGAACCATCAGAAGATGACAAATCTCCCCAGACCCACATATATGAAAAGAACAAATCATCTGGCAGTTACTAAAGTCCAACTTGATTTTTTAGAGGAAGTCCAAATCGCTTCCATGGAAATCCTTGAAAATATAAATGCCAAAAATCTGCAAATAGCAAAAGGCACCACTTCAAGATCTGTTTGATATGTCTGCCAAGTCTTGTAGAAAGATAATAATGAAAGGTTTTCAAGTTGAAACCCACCCTCCCTTATGAAACTAACTCTGAATCGTTTCCATGGATACCACGAAAATATAAAATGCCAAAATATGCAAATAGCTAAAAGGCACCACCTGGGGATATGTCTCATATATCTTGCTAAGTTCTCCTGAAAGATATTGACAGGTTTTCGACTTGTGACATGGAAACGAAACCCAACCCTCCTTTTGAGACCAAAGTCAAAATCGTTTCCAAAATCTACTTCAATTTAACTTGTGCTTGACAGAGAGGCAAAAGCAAATTTACCTTGTGTGATTATACAAAGAAAATGGTCAGTGCATATATATACATCGCATATACATATTTACATCAGTGATACAATCAGGCCACCATCTCAGAGTTCTGCTGAGGCTTGTCTTCTGTGCTTTGTAAGTGATGCCTTAAAAGAAAATGAAAGGATAATAAGAACTGACATACAAAGATAAGTGAAAAACAGTAAAAGCTTAAATCGGTATTCATCTTGATGTCTGGATGTTTTATACATTCAATGCTCTCTAACGCTGTATAACAGATGACAATATAATATTTTGTTAACAATTGGAACTCAAATGAAAATACCTTTGATTGCCTCTGCATTTTTCATTGCTTTGCTCTATTGCCTCTTGTACATTTCTTGGGAGGTGTTCTCTTCCCTTGGGGCAGGCATGAAGGGCTCTAAGTCGGACAGCTTGATGACCGGTGTGTGAATGTCCCCATCTTTCTCTAATGTGGGACACCCACCACAAGCCTTCCTCTTCAGACAGCCTGGTAGATGACACCCATTTGCCCAAGTCTCTCCCCATGGCTTTACAGGTGTCATCTACCTTTTCCTTGTCCAGAGTGACAGGTGTGAGTGTTGAAAGGTCAACCTTGAAATCCAATGACACCTTTCTGCTGTAGGTTTCACTTTTCAGTGGCCAATCTGTATAGGAGAAAGTCCAAGTATCCTGTCCATTCCTGAAGAGTAATGGAGACAAGGCCCGAAGGGCCGAGGCTCCATTAGCTTTCAGGAATGGACAGACTTTCTCCGACTTAAAATACACCCAAACCTAATGGGGAATACAATGCAGATCAATGAACACCAAATATTTTTTCAGTTAAACCTTAATAAACCATTTTAGAAAAAATGTCCGCTTGTGTTCGGTAAAAGTATTAAATCAATTCTCTCCTTATTGGAGACCCTCTATGCGTCAATGAACGAACTGCCACTTTCCACGTGCGTTGTATGCGTGTAAACCCGTATTTCTCATTACTTCACCAAATGAAATAACTCGCACGTGCTTTGTACCCGTGTTAACCCGTATGTCTCCATTACGTCAGCAAATGTCATACCTTGCACGCTTGGTTTGTATAAACCCGTATGTCTCCATTACTTTAATAATGGTATAAGATGCACGTGATTTTGTGCGCGAAAACCCGTATGTCTCCATTACTTGAACCACGTGTCAGAAGACAGTCGTAAGGATGGACATCGATAGCTCAGATGATGATGGAATGTTTTTGACCCAGTCAACATACACAACGCAATATTCGGATATATCTTCAGATGAAACTGCTGATAAAGTTATTGTTGGTGACGTTTTGGAGGGTTTTGGTGACAAAATCACTCAGTCGGATGACGAGTTAGTGGCATCTTGTATAGTCGCTGAGAAGCAATCAACGTATGAAACTACGTATGAAACTGACAAGAAGGGAGGGAACGGGTCGGAGATGTCGGTTACCCACAGTGGCAGTCGTTTTCACGAGCCCGTTCCTGACAACATACTGAATGATCTACAAACCAAAAGTAAGTACACGTTCATTTCGGATGTTTACTTTAAAATGATAATTCTAGATCTTTTGAAAAGTATTTAAAGTAACGCGCGCGGTAAACTTTGACATTTGTACTGGATTTGTTTTGTATGCTTTCTCCGAACATGAAATGGAATTGGCATTTATAAAATGATTGTGTTAGAATAATTATTACATTAAATCTTACTCGTCTCTTAGAGATTTTCAGAAAGCTTCAGAGATGTTACAATAACATGTACAGATTCGTTTTTGTTAATTCTGTTAGCGATTGTGTTTAACATTTATGACCGTTCTCAGTTTATTGTCTGTCGTCAGTTTCGAACACTTTGGAGTATTTAAAGTTGAAGTTTAGCATATAGTAGTTTATGATACCATATACTCTATATCTTATCATTTGACTTTTGACCTTTCAGGTTAGCCGACAGCACAGTATCAAAATGAAATGGGCTACAACTTAATTCAGGGAATGGCAAAGTAACAGAAACAACCTAGCAGCGGACACTTCCAGGAACCTAAGCTTCATTATGGTACCACTGGAGGAAATGAGCGTTGACGAACTGAACTATGCTATTTCCAGATTTGTCTGTAAAGGCGAAGAAGACGGACGGCACTGATTTCCGTCTGACACGTTATATGGACTTGTGATCTGTCTCCAGTTACACATGGACAGCATTGGCAAAGCCTACAAGTTCCTAACTGATGACGCCTTTTGCAAATAAAGAACACCCTGGATAACATGATGAAAACAACCCGCTAAGGATCCATCCAGTAAGCCAGCGGTTCAAGCCGAAGTGATCACACCAGAGGAGGAGGAAGTTCTGTGGGCAAAGGTGTTCTTGGGGTGATAACCCTAAGCAATTATTGGACACTATTTTCTACTTGGTTGGGATTAATATCGCCCTCAGGGGTGGCCAGGAACACCGAAATTTGCGCGTCGGAAGGACTTCTCAGTTTTCGTTATCGTCTGATCAACACGGACGTGTTCTGATCTATACTGAGGACGTCTTATCTAAGTCCAATCAGCGGGGCCTTAAGCATCGGAAGTGTAAAAGCAAGTGTGAGGGCCTATGAGAACGTTGACAAGCCAGAAAGGTGTTTGGTTGAACTCTTTGAAAAATATTTAACCCATAGACCACCCCCAAAACAGACAGTGACCCCTTCTACTTGCGACCATTACGAAATCCAGTGGGCGACGTATGGTACAGCAGTCAAGCAGTTGGCCGCCATAGTCTAGCTGCTACGGTGTCTGACATTTGCCAAAGAGCTGGATTGACCGGACACAGGACCAACCACTCACTACGAGCCACAGCCGCCACTCGTTTGTATGAGGCTGGTGTTGACGAGCAATTGATATGCGAGGTAACTGGGCACCAGTTAAGCGCAGTGAGGAGCTATAAGCGTACCAACTCGGCTCAAAAAGGAAGTTGAGTTCTCTTCTGCAAGGTCAAGCTTCAGTTCCTGTGTCAGCCAGTTCTACCCCCTGTTCTAGTAATAACATAGATAAGTCTGACGACAGTAAAACAACATTTCTGTTACTGTTAGTGTGAATGTCAACTAACTGTAATTTCTGGGAAAAATCAAAATAAACGAGAAGGTGTGAAGTTATGTTTGTTCTATTTTAGTGATGAGTAATATTCAATGTTCGTAATAGTGACTTTTCTCAGGGAATGTCTCCATTACTGAAAGGTAATGGACAGAGTTGCAATGACCAAGCAGAGCAGGTGTATTTTAATTATAAAGCATTGAGACTGAGGACCCTCCATTCTGAACACAAACACATGTGCCTCCTTGTATCCTTTCGGTGAATCACAGTTGATAACTGCCTCATGTCCCAAACACCATCCAGTACAGTAGCAGTGGGCTTTGGATCGTTACTGTTGGCAAGGACTTGCAGGAGAGTATCACGTGTTGCAGCAGGTTTCTGTCCCATCTCCTTTGCAAACACGCTGAACAGCTGGTCCACATCTTCATGAGTGTGGCCCACCATGAGAAATGAAAGTTTCACCTGGAAAAGAGTATCACTATTAAAACACACATTCAATTATTGGATTATTTGATTATCCTGAGATTCTAATAAAGAATGATAAAGATCCTCTTAATGACCTCAACTGCATGCATTCCCACACTGTTTGTGTAAATATATGTTGCAAAACACATACCTTTTGAAGATTTTCAATTTGACTAACAATGACAAAAATACAATTTACGGTCTTGTTCTTGTTATCTTTTTGGCGAATTGTCTGCTTGTAAATACAGCGTTTCTGGTAGACGCCCATGGTTCAGCTGAAATAGTAGTTTTTAGTAAATGAATTAAATACTATTTCATAGCATTTGAGCAGGAACAAATTTGAAACAAATGAACTTAATGTTTCGTGATTAATTAGGCAATGACTCATTATTGAAAATATATAGTAGTATTACCTGTGCAATTCTACTGAGGCCATACAGAAGCACTGTACAAGTTACATTTGCATCGCCTGGAATACATGTATTCCAGACATCAGCATGGGTTGCTAGGTTTCCATGATCGACAACACCAGACACGTGGTGCTTGACATGTGCCAGGCTGCCATCAATCTGAAATGTTCGAAGATTATTGTATTTTAATTAATGCCTGTCACAAAATTGTATCTCTCACTATCAACATTCATTACACACGACAAGTACATGAATTAGGACAAATTCATTATATTCAGCTTTTTTGAAATATGAGGAGTGTCAACTGTTCAATGGTTTGAGGAGCCTGTGATTCAATATGTAATCATCACACATGTGTACCTTTGATTGTTCTGGAAATACAGGAAGGTTTGTCTTGTTTTAGTCCATGTTGTCAATGATGAGGGACACATACTTAGATGGTGACCTCTTTGCCTTGTCCCCATGTTTATAATATTTCTCTCGAAGTAGCCTGCAAACACAAAACATTTAAAATAGGAAAACAATACACTTACATGCATACACTGAACCTGTGAACAACCACAAAGCAGTGAGTGGTCCTTTTGTGAGTTGCTAATATTATTTTCTCATGTTTAATATCTCGTGATGCAAAATCCATTTCTCAAACTACATTTTCATTAACTTCATTCATTATTACAGAAATAACAAACCTTTGCAAAGCTAAGTGTCCCTGTTTTGCTTCTTTCAAGGCCTTGACTTTTTCCTTTGCCAAGTTCTTTCTTTGTAGTGCATCTCTTTACACGATGCATAGAGAGCATTGTGTGAAATCCTTTGACTGGAACAGATGTAAATAATTTCAACATCATCATGATTTTGTATTTATTCATAACACTTGTCAATGGCATCTTTCAAGCTGTATTTAATACAATTCCTACATAAACAAATAGGGATGAAAAAGATTCCATAAACCCCCTTCTGAAAGAAATTTACGAAAGATCTGTCTTTTTCTTCACCTTTACAAGATTACCTCAACAATTATCCCTAACTTACCTGGTTTTACTGATCTTGATTACAGTACACCAACAAACACTGCAAACTTCATGGCCTTCAAGGGTGAAGAGAACATCTGACAGTCTTTGTTCCTGATATCTGAACACTGCTCTCAAATTATTGTTGATGAAGCGGCTCTTTTGGTTTGTGTCTTCCTCCAAAACGACAATCTAAATTGGTGGATAACTTCACAAAAGACAGTTTCTTCATGCACTCTTTCACACAGCACTTGGTCACCAAAGTTTCTTTTTATGTCTGGTGATATTAATGCCTTCTGTTCTCGTTGTCAACATCTCTTTGACCTCTCCCCTGCAAAACATTTTCAATCGTAACTATATCTGAAGCAATATCTAGGCTGATGTCCTTGAACTTCCTGTGCATTATGTTTCCCTTCAAATATCATAAATGACCCTGACTCCCCAACATGGCATACGTTACAGACAATACCTCACATCACTGATTATGTGCAATCCATTTTCATTGAATTTATACTGTCAAGAAATATACATATTCTTTTATTGCATATACATGACCACCCATATGTCAGACAAGAAACTGCTTCATTTGTGGCTGCTAGAAGAATTAATCTCTAGTTTTTTCCAATGAGACAGAACGGTTTTCCAAGAAAACATATACATGTTTGTAGCCAGGTTGATGGAACAGTGAGCTACAATGCAGTGTTAATAAAAACTAAAGAGAGACATAACCAGTCTCATTTTATCAACTTTCGCATGAGGTAGTATGGATCATTTGAGAAATTTTCTTTTCCGAAAATGTTAACAATTGTCAAAAATACATCTGTCTAATTTAGGAAATCTTGAAACAACAATAAATGAAGCACTTTCCAGGATTATGTCTAAAAAATGTGTCTAAAAATCACTGAATATGTGAACATTGAACATTTTAGGGATTATGCATTCCTCGTAAGACATTCACAGATGAATTTCTTATTTTGTTTGCTACATCCTAACAATAGAACAATTCAATAACCATTTGAGAGGATAAATTGTGCACTCTTACTTGGAACAGATCTAATTGGCCGTATGTCAGAATATGGTTCCTCACTTGAACATGGTGCCACTGAAATACAACATTAAACAGAATATTATTGTTTGGTTTGATAATATTCAAGCTATATGACACAGAACCAGAAATCTAGTGATTGAGCATTATATTCGGCTGTCAAGTAGGTTAGCAAACCTGACTACACGATCGCCTACTGACATGCATAGGTTGGTGAAGACCAATCTTAAACCAGTTCGTCATGGGTCAATGCATTCGTAAACATTGCTATCACTTTACAAATTGAGTACACTCAGTGATAAAAATATTCTGTACATGATTTTGATACATGTCTATTGTGCAATAGCATTAAAAGTAATACCTTGGGTTGCAGTGTCAACAGTTGTCTGACTGAGAAATGATAGTGTCTTTTCTGCTCCTGCAAATGAAATACATCATTATTTACTTGTAAAATTATATTCTCCCTCTGGGACAAAACACAAACATTCTCATAAACCCAAAATGCCTCCAAACTTACACAAGGCCAGAAATCAAATTTGCTCCACCTGTCCCTGCCCGTTAAAATTGAAAATACCTGCAGAGCAGCAGTGTTACATTGACAACATAAAGTTAATACTGGCATCTCTATTCAATTTAATGAACATACCTGTGGAAAGTAATCCTGACCCACTTGACAAATCTTCAGATTTGACCAATCTTCTCATCACAGGTGTTTGGCCTCCTGTAAAGATTGAAAGAATGATTAGAAAGTCATTTTGCTTATTCACAACCTTTGTATAAACCAACAATTTTAAATACATGGATCTTAGGCTGATGCATGCTAACACATCAATATAAATATAAAGCTCAATTAGACACACAACAAATGGTTGTGGTATGGGCCTTAATGATAGACTGAAACAACTTTACAAACTGGACCCTTATTGTTACAGATTGTTTTGAGAACTGTGCATGTGCTAATGGCTAATTTCAGCTCATGTTACATCAACAATTTGAAGAGAACATACTGTTAGTATTACTGAATGAAACATTTATTCCAATAATTTTGTGTATCAAGTTTTGGATTTAATGAGCCCTAAATATCCTTACAATAAAATATAGTAAGGCTTTGTTCATTCACTTTAACTGTGACATGTGGCATTATAGCTCAAATGAAGTGAGTGATTGGGTTTGACGTCGGTTTGAACAGCATTCCAGTTATACATGATATACATTGTAACCGAAATGATGTTGAAACCTGCAAGACAGCAGTTTCACCAGATAATGCCACAGAGTTGAGAAAATAAAGTTACTACTATATATATAATATAAAATTAAAATATCAGCATCCCTATAAACTGTAATAAACAAACAAATTAATACTGTCCCACTTGTTCCACTTGTTCCCTCTGATACAAAACAAAAACATTCTCATAAACCCACAATGCCTCCAAACTTACCCAAGGCCAGAAATCAAATTTGCTCCACTTGTCCGTTAAAAATTGAAGAGGGTCAGTGTCACATTGACAACATAAATACTGACATCTCTATTGAATTTAATGAACATACCTGTGGAAAGTAATCCTGACCCACTTGTCAAATCTTCAAATTTGACCAGTCTTCTCTTCACAGGTGTTTGGCCTCCTATATGTGAAAAATAGAAATTATTATTGATTCCATGAATGATTGTACATAAAGTTAATAGAAATATCAATAAATGTCAGTATACAATTCTTTCATTAAATTTGTAGTACACATGAGGCAGATTTATTATGATTTGCACAGTAGACTATTATACTTATCATTACGAGATTCAGCTCAATAAACCAGCTTTGACAATCTTCATGGTAGTGCATTAATCAATTCAACATGTTTACCCTGGATGCTGAATACATATACATTTCATACTCACGTAATCATCCCATGATATGCAAGGGAAAAGTTCACAATGACATCTTAAACGGCTCAAATAAATGTGTTCCACTTGTCCGTTAAAAATTGAAGAGGGCTCAAAGTCACATTGACAACATAAATACTGACATCTCTATTGAATTTAAATTAACATACCTGTGGAAAGTAATCCTGACCCACTTGTCTCTCTTCACAGGTGTTTGGCCTCCTATATGTGAAAAAATAGAAATTATTATTGATTCCATGGATGATTGTACATAAAGTTAATAGAAATATCAATAAATGTCAGTGTACAATTCTTTCATTAAATTTGTTGTACACATGAGGCAGATTTATTATGATTTGCACAGTAGACTATTATACTTTATCATTACGAGATTCAGCTCAATAAACCAGCTTTGACAATCTTCATGGGTAGTGCATTAATCAATTCAACATGTTTACCCTGGATGCTGAATACATATACATTTCATACTCACGTAATCATCCTATGATATGCAAGGGAAAAGTTCACAATGACATCTTAAACGGCTCAAATAATAAAATATTTTAGTGGTACACATGTTAGTCGAGATGTCTTTTCATGAAAATAAGCTGGATGACTTTTGAAACCTCACATAGATATGGTGAATAATCCCAGAAACATTTTTGTCTTTTTTCCCAAACTCTCAATCACCAAGGCTCAGTATAAATATTAGGTATAATGTAAAACATCTGACCATAAATAACTTCAAAGGGTTTTGATTGCATTATTATAATGATGGCTTTTGATTGAGACTGGAATATATATATATATTCCAATTTCATGTAATGCCATATTGTATTATGGAAAGTGTTTTATTTCTTCAATACTGAATCAAGCTGTAAACATATTCTAATGCAGGTTGCAAACGTGTGCATTTACTCCTGTCTAAAGATTATATTTTATTGATTTGGGCAGGTGTGTATTTCACCATACTTCCACCTGTATCAGCCTTGATACACCTGCTTGTGTAGGCCACTTCCTGTTTATTTCAGGTAATTAGCAATCACTGTGGTCAACTGATCTGGAGCTGAATTACTGGGCTTGGGGTACTGAATTACTGGGCTTCACCATAAAATTAATTGATCCATGAACAAGAAACTAAAACATACAAAACGAGAATTTATGGATGCCAACTTCTTTGAAGTAGTAAGTTCTGTGAAGTTGACATCCAAAATAATTATCGCCAATATGTGTATCAAAGACTCTACTGTGTTCAGTACGTAGTGTCATGTACATATCTCCCAAGGTCAGATAAAGATTTGAGGAATGACGTTATGACATTAGATATTATTGGTTACGTTTTATAGTGTTATCCTATACTGTATAGTGCATTTTTAGTTGTACTTCTTGTCGGAGATATAGAGCTGCCTAGGAAATTATAAATTTAGAGATAACTGAGAAGTAGATTTACCACAACTGTACTTTTATACGAAGCTAGCGTCTCGTAAGTTTACACGCTCACGTCCACGTCCACGTGATAACCCTGTCGGCAGCTGAGACAGTGCCACACCTACCACAAGCCACACATGACACTTACCCGGTACAGCACGTAGGTAACGCTAATCAGATGCAATGCAAACCAGTATCTTCGTTCGTATCTCTTGCATGCTTTCTTAACTTATGTGAAAAATGATAAAAAGTGTGCGCCGTGCTAAGGTCCGAAACGAAATTTAATTGTTAAGACGAAACAATGAGAATTGTTTATTCACACCGGGGATTCGTCTATAACATGGCGTTAAACTGTTTGAAAATATTCCAGTCATAAGCATTCAGTCATCCATTTCGTTTGAAACATTCTATTCCTTGAACATTCATCTTACCTCTTTCTGTGCCTTTCCTTTTTGGTCAGATGTCTTGAAGAATGGTTTATGTCTTTATTGGTGATGACGTTAGTATGATCTATAAACGGTTGAAAAACATTCATGAATGACAATGTCAAATGAAACGTATTTAATATTTATAAAGAATTCAATACCAGCATAAACCAGACGTTGTTTGAGACTTACACAGTATTTGGTATCAATGAAAATGTGAAATCATTCTCACCCATTGCAACGACGTCGAAGCTGAGCTAATAGCTGAAGAAGGTATCTAGTTCTTCTCCCTGATACTTGTTTCAGTTATTTGCCGACTTGATAATTAGGTCTCTTTTCACCGTCTGACTGAACGATCTCGAAGAATGAGCGAAATGGAACATAACAAATCTGCTCACGCCACTATATACACACCAGTTTTGTACATTGAGAAAGGTCGGGCGCCGATGATTGGTATTGCAAAACAAACACGAGGGTGTATATCCGTGAAACGTCATGCCTGACTTACGCACGGTAAATATCACATTCATGTCATTCTGCAAATTTGGGGAGAAGCCGTGTACACGCTGTCTTTGCGAGCTCCAATGATGCGTCCTGTTTGTCGGCAACTTCAAAGAGCAGACATCTGGCTGCTCCACCAGGTAGGTATAATTACCCTCTCCATAATGCACTTTTGTATCGTTTGTATTGAATGATGGTACCCCATAATCGGATTGGGCGGAGTAAACCTACATTTCTCAAACATCGTAATCTTCAGTGCCTCATTGAGTAGGCCTGCAGTCATTGCCATGCCGCTGGAATATATTCGGGTAGATTATGAACCGCCCCATCGCATTCATGAACAGTAAATGCACAATGGCACAGGCAACTTGGTCTCTTTCTGTAACAAATAGTACTTTGTATTTCAGCCACAGCAACGATCCCGAACCACGTGCAGTCAGCAATGTTAAACCGTCTGCTCAACGTACTGCAGTCACTATACAGGTGAAGGGTTATGGTATTTATAATGCTTGATTTACAGAAAAGCCGACAAAGAATGTGGTATTAAACTATTTTTATCACATTGGCATTTTATGCAGAGCAAACTAAATAACAATTAATCAAATGTTTTCACAAACACCTGTTCATCTATATGTAATTTGTAGAAAAGTATACATGTATCATGAATCGACCAGCCTCCCTTAATGCATGCATGTGTTGGGCGTCCCTTTTTTTAGTATTTCTGTTATTTCACTAGAGCCGAGTTTTTGGAAGACAGATATTAGGTAACAACATAAAATGCTTAAGTATCATATAAATGCTTCCTATTGATATTACTATGCGAGCAATTTTAAAAACTTATTTGTAAGATATAATTAATTAGATATGAAACATAACTGTGCAGGACCAATGTATATTGCATTAAAAAGTAATGTTAATGTCTTCCCTCAAGTCAAGAACAATATCAGCATCTGGTGTTGATCTGAACCAACAAAACATGTAATGGATGTTACCCAAGACGCGTATTGTCTATGCAGTGCCGAGGGCAATTAACGAGGCAATTAAATTGCCTCTTAGGTATTGTCACTTTGACCAATGTGAATGCACCCCTAAGATATACGTTTAAAGTAAGTGACCCTCTTCATGTCCTGTACAAAATCAATGAACCCCCTTCCCATAATTTCAAAGGATATTTTTATTTATTTACAAAATGATTACCACCTCCATGTGACCGAGTAACTCTGATAATACTCGGTTTGATTTATCTTGTTAAATACTATGTGTGTCACGTATGCGTGGATCTTCACCTTCCACATTTATTCAATAAAATCAACCCTCAGATCGACTTACATCGCCGAGGTAGAGGCAGCCTGCAATTGTACAGTTAAGAGAGATCGTACATAATATATTGCCAGGGTGGGGTGATGATGATATTTATGGTGAACAATGCACAATGTGAATGCCCCAGACACTTAAATTTATATATAGTGGACTACAACCCCCACCCCATGCCATGTACAAAATCAATGACGAGCCCCCTAAAACATGGGTGCAAAATTGATGAGCAGATATTTTCTTTTCGTCTTTCGATTCCTATTTTGAAACTCAAGGGAACTACTCTAGATTATGCGGAACGAAAACGCAGGAAGGTGTATTAAATATTCTTTGTCATGGTTTCATTCGGAACTTTTACATCGGACACCGGATTATGTTGTCGGACTTAAAAGTCATTTCCTTTTCCCTAGTAGACATGGGCCTCTCGGAAATTCGAAATTAACCAACAACGCCAAAGCATTCAAACACATTTCCTTGGCTGAGGTAGGCGTTTACAAATATTGATAAGTATTCGACATACCTTGATGTACAAACAGAGGGCAACATCGCGGTTTATCGGTCGCAGCTTGTAGCGCTAGTGATGTTAATGCTGCATGTGTAGGTACAAGTATAAAACCTATCTCAAATGTATTAAATGTTAAGGTTTTAATTTCAGCTTCATCATGATGTCGACATTGAGTGCCCCATACACAAGTATGCAGTTACTGACAACTTATGGGTGACCTGTACAAACGAGAGGATTCCGATGACTTTCTGGAGACACTTGACATGCTGATGGGTGTATATAAAGTTACATATCAAGGTAGAAAAAAATATTTAATATATTTTGAATGATATTATAATGTAGTTCTTGACAATGTTATCAGTTTAATCTCCTATTTCTTTAGGAGCTGACCTGGTTCAAAACCCTCTGGATACATCTCTGGCAGAAACCATACCTACAGATGTACACCCCTAAATTTCAAAGCTACAATAATGGTAAGTTATTCATGTTGTTTTTTATTGGAGAGAGGTATTCTTACTGAGTACTCCTTTCTTGGTAAATTATACTAATACAATGTAGATCCATTCCACAGACCAACTGATGCAAAATTTACCAGTTCATGTTCGTTTAGATTAATCTAACAAGTTTTCGATAAGTCTAAGTCCCCACCCGTTAATTCTTTACACTACAGACCAAACATACTTCCTGCACTAATGAATGTACAGTGTGTAAAATGTTTCATTATTTATTTCATCCAGGTTTTTCGCAACCTTCCCGAAGATCAGGTAAAAGTGAGACAACCCCTCTTGGCAGTGCGGATAATAAAATGGAGAAAACAGTGTCAGGCGGCTTTGAAACCTACAGATCCATCACGTGTAAGTGTTACTTAGAGCATGTCATGAAGCAGTTCACTTATAATCCATTGTTGTCCTTTTTCCCCTGTGTTCTTCAACTTATTAATATATGCATCCATTGTTTTTACGTGTTGCTCTTTCTTTTTAATTTACTTAATTTTGTCTTTCCAGCATCATTTTGGTGGTCGTTTCAAAGTTCACCATGCAGTAGCTGCAACATCTGACAGATGTTATCGCCTCATCCTTGAGGTCATGGATTTATTCAGCCTCGGTAAACTAAAGGAGCAGAAACAAACAAAAGTGAACACATGTCTGTTCTTGGAGCTTGTTTCTTTCAAAGATGAGGCAACCCTTTACAGACTGTTGACAGAATTCAGAAACAGTGAAATCTCAAAGAAGAATTCAATCTTCAACTGAAACAGATTAAACAAACAAACAAGGTAAAAGAACAGAATCAGATTTAAACTTTGACTAAACAATAACTCCTTCAGTTAAGTTCATCACGAGAACCATTTATATGGTTATATTGCGATTGGCATTAGAATAAATTGACATGTATATTATATTTGAAGGGAACTGAAATCAGTCAGGAGGCAGCTACCAATGTATTGGTATTAAAGGAACGACTGAAAGAAAGGACAGACTGATTGAGGGAGCTGAGGATGCAGAACCTATTACTAAGACAGGAACTGGATAAGATCGTATGGTTCACTTGTGTAAATGTACATTCATTTTTCTGATGTTTGGGAATCATGCTTACAAATGGCCCCAAGAAAGCTATGCTGGTCAATTAGGGTGACTAAACAGTTGGGTGGTCTGACTCTGTGGATTGTGTGTCATTCTTGATGGTGTATCATTGCTGATAACACTAGTGGCGGTCCGATTAATTGAATTAATCGAAGATTGGTCACAGTGACGAAACAACCAAGCAGTTGATCATATTTTCTCATAATCAAACACAAACAATTTTGGATTACTTGTTTACATTAACAATATTTTCCACAAGGTTGGTTTTGTCTCTGTTATTAAATTTACATTACATAAGCACTACAAGCTCGTTCAAAGTCATGACTGAATTTATCTTAAAGACTCCAGGAAATTTATTCCTAACATTCTAGTCCTCCTTCTAAGATGTAAAATTTACTAGTACATGTTTTTCCATTTTTGTGTGCAATAACAAACATTACAGGGAAATTTTGATAAATGACCCTCACCAATTATTTTCGATGATTGATAATGAACCAATCATCAATTATGAGATTTCAACCAATTCCCAACACTAGATAACACCACACTCGGTCATATACAGGCGCTTGAGTAAGGCATTAAGAAAGAAAAGGAAAATAGGAAAAAAATACCTAGTCTGGAAATACCATTGTCACTTTTTCAGAGAAAAGAGAAATCACAGCAGCTACAAGAGCATCGGAATAAAGAAACTTTGCAAGAGGCAGAGAGATTGCCTGAGCCTGATGTGAGGATAATTTTGTATTTGGACTGATTATTTTTTTTTACTAAAGTCAGTGATGAGTTTTCAATAATAATCATTCAAAACTGTAATGTCATGTCTTCCCAAGCATTTGTAATATTGCATCCAGTCATGCCAACATGCCCACCAGGTGAATTCTGATTTGTTTTAACAATGTATGATGAGTAATATAATAGTAGTGCTTGTGTATATTGTTTTGTCATGTCATGTTCATTCACTTGTATCAGTTGATGGTTGTTCAGTGCACACCTGGCAATATTCCAGGCACTTTGAAAACACCTTGTAACTATTTTTTTCTTATTGATATGATATCTGCTTTAAAATATAACATACATAATAATGTCCACTGTAAATGGTTTATTTTCTTATTTATAGGTGTATGCATTCAGTGTGGTGACGATGGCCGTGACTTTCAAATAACACTAGTTCAGGTGAGTTAAAGTAATTCTTTCTCAATGTCAACTAAAATGACTTAATGTCAATGAAGATCTGAAAAACGGAAATGGATTGGTGGGATTGTATTACTCATAAGAAATAATATCATTTGTTAATAATCAGCATTTTCAACTGAATTTTGCCATTTTGCAGAATATACATCGCGAGGAATCCGCACAGGAACATCTGGAGGTTAGTTAATAAGCCCACTTGTACAAAATTAAATTGTTCATATTATTGTTTACCCTTAATGACAATCTTCATCCTGCCGTTATATCTGAAATGAGTTTGGAATCAACTCAGCAATTTCCTACTTACATATATTAGCATATATTCGATGTGAAGCTGGTAATTTTATTGGCAACTATGGTAAAATTCATTGATTAGAGAATAACAGTCTGTATCTTCTTTTAGAATATTCCTGGCGTGGAATGTCCAGAGCTTCCAGTAAGTATTTTATTTCAATTTCAGATTCTGTTGTATTTTGCATGTTAAATGTCAGGTATACACATGGTTTGTCAATTGAAACTGAATGTAAATGATACATATTTTTTCCTTATCCTGACTCATGATTATTTGCTTTCTCATCCTCTCTTCCGAACGGTCAAGTGGAAACTTGAATCCTTTCAATTCCCTTGAAGCGAACGTACAATCACTCACCCTTTATTACCTCCCCTGGTTTCCCGCCAAAACCTGGCACGTGACCTCCCATGCCTTGGTCCTCACTCTCTCCTCTATCGCCCTAGCGGACGGTTGGGCGGTCACTTCAGGGTCCTTTCGCGGCGTATAACTTAAAAAGTTTTGGAATTATAACACAAATTCTGCCGTGAATGTGTTTATTAATATATTATTCATCATATTATTAACTGACAAATTACTCAGGTCTATATCACAAGTTGTACTAAAACATCAATATGATTGATAAACATGTATGAAAACAATGAAAAACATAATGTTAAAATCATATTAACGTCTGTATAAAGGTGTTAATCATCGTTACAACATGGTCTTGGTATTATCTCCACATACGTCTACCTAGGAAAGTTTTCCGTAGACGACAAAAGGAAACTTGAAAGAAACCAGTTGCTGACATTTAGGTATGAGCTCAACATTCTGCGTTGAGTAAAACCTTAGCATGCACGCGTTGAAAAAAACACGACTAATTCTTCCAGTGTTTTAGTCCTGACATCCTATAGAAAGTATTGATAAGACTAAAGCTATCTGGATTGGATCTAAAGCAGGTTGTGGTGATAAACTATGTCAGGATTTGAATATTGAATGGCGAAAAATGAATTTGTTGTTCTGGGAATTATACTTAATGCTGAACTGAAGGATCTATGGATCATCAATACAAAGAAAAACTAGAGGAAATTAACAGATTATTGGCAGTGTGGAGAAAAAGACATTTAACATTAATCGGCAAAATCACTGTTATCAAGACACTAGCTATGTCAAAATTAGTTCATATTTTCAGTACTTTACCAAACCCACCCCAAGATTTTGTTACCTCCTTAATAAAATATTTTTCAAATTCATCTGGACTGACAAAACTGACAAAATTAAGAGAAGTACCTTGAAAAAAGATTATATACATGGGGTTTAAGAATGATCGACATAAAACCTTTATCAATGCCTTGAAACTATCCACTTTGAGACTTTATTTAAGAAAATCATCAATATGTAATCCATGCAATTTTCCATTACATGATATCATGAAATTTGGTGCTAACTTCTATTATATTGCTGATATTCATAATCCATATTGGAAAGATGTTTTAAAAGCATGGAACATGTATTGTACTAACATTACCATAGAGGAAAACAACACTGATGAAATTTTAGCGCAGCCATTATGGTTTAATCATAATTTTAAATACCAAAATCATTATATCAGTCATTGGGCAAAAAAGGACTATTAACCATCAAAGACATGTGTGATGAAGAAGGTTTGATGTCTTTTTGAATCTTTAAAAGTAAATATGCAATAAAAGGGACAGAATTAGATCATAGATATGTTCTAAATAATATACCTGAATCATGGAAAAATACAATAACAAATCACAGGTGTATAAATAACTATGACATGAATCTTAACTCCTATCAAAAGAATTTTATGAAATCATTACAAGGATCAAGATTATTTTATGATATATTGTTATTTAACAATAATAACCCCCTCATATGTGTCATAAATGGGAGAATGTGTTTGAAGATACTGACTTTGATTGGCCAATGATTTTCAAGTCTTACAGACAAGACATTAATGATGTAAAACTCTTAGAGTTCCAATATAAATTTTTACACGGTATTATCTATACCAAAAAGGAACTTTTAAAAATGAACCTTTATCCAGAGCGCCTCATGCAGCTTTTGTAAAGATGAAGATGAAAACTTGTGCCATGTTTACTGGGAATGTAGTGAAACTAAGAAGTTTTGGAAGGATCTTCAAATTTGGATTAACACTTATTTGATACAAAAAGTCAATTTGACAAAATATTTGGTGTATTTTGGCTCCTTAAGTAAAACCCATTACTTAATCATATAATCATTTCAGCAAAAGACAGATCTATGTCTCTTCTTTGAAAAACAATATTCCAAAATGCGATAACTTTATAAAAACTTTAAAAAGATATTTTTCTGTTGAAAGCTTCATTGCCAAAAAAGGAAGAATAAAATGAAGAAATTTGCTAATAAATGGCATCCATTATTCCCAGTATTTCAAACCTGACCTGTGTATGCAGCAATCGCTTCTTTTGTAAAATCTTGATCTGTTTCCCCTTTTGAAAATTATCATTGTTTTAGTTATGTATTGACTAGTTAGTTAATGGCACTGGTGTAACTTTGGGAACACATATTATAGGTTGGATATAAGACACAATATACAACACAATAAGCCGGATGTTGCGCAATATATAACACAACACATTGGATGTGACACAAGACACAGCATGACATGTCAGAATAATTGTGGCACTATATACAACACATGTTAGATAAGACATATTTACAATGTATATCAGATAATACATTATGTACAACACGATAGATGTACAACACGATAGAGTGGCCGTGACACTAAATATGCTATGGCGGTGTCGTGTGCACTATATACAATATGATATGTCAGATGGTATGTGTCAGATATGGCGCCGTATACAACAAAATATGTTGAATGTGACACAATATACAGCTTGATATGTCAGATGTGGTGCTATAAACAATATGATATGTTCATATATGATGCTATTTACAATTTGACATATGAGATGTAATACTATATACTTATGATATATCAGATATGACATTATATACAACTTATGATGGAAAAAAAACACCCCAAAAACCCCCAAAACAAAAAAAAACTACTAATAACGAAACACTTCTAGAAAATTATGCACATATTTATACCATGCATCAAAAATACCCCCAATTCAGTAAGATATATTTTTGTAGGATTTCCCATGTACTATGACATCATATATATTTGTTGTAAACTCAACCTTTGTTATTGTATACATGTGTAAATGTAAGTGAAAATTGTATATATGTTGTATACGGCCTGTGGCCTATAGACAATAAAAAGACTTTGACTTGAAAAAAACAACAAAAAAAAACAAAAAAAAATTCTTCCAGTGTTCTTTCTTCGCAATTCCTTAATAGTCCACACATTGTCAATCATAAAGGGTACTGTTCATGTACTGTCTGTCCCTATACGGTCGTGGTGAATTAAGGTATCAAAACATATTAACTGCTATTCTGCTCATTAACAAAGTCCTGTATTGCAAACCAAAACATTACTCTTCTCAAAACGTAATACCAAACTACTTGGCTGAAAACAATCGAATATATATTATAGTTTGATTATCACACATCACATTTGTGTGTCAAAATCCGGCCAGTGTATTGTTGCCACATCAGCTTTCCTCAGCTGTCTCTTTACAGTTTAGATGTGAACCTGGCTGTTGGAATATACACCTGAGTCATTCAGTGACTCATACATGTCTGGTGACCGTCCGTCCAGCGTGCCGTACTGACTTATGACATCGTAGTCAGACGCTGTTGTAGTTGGTGAAGGTGAAGACACCGTCGGGTTTCCACTTAGTCTGGATTTGTCATGATCTTCGTCATTCCTACGAAATAAATGTTCAAAACTGCTTTAAGTGGTGGGTTATACCTCCATTTACCGAGTGGAAAGTGTGCGACACACGAATTGTTGGAAATGATTATCAGATGTTTTGATAACTGGACATTAGTAAATTACAATTGAGATGTATCAAATCAACATTGTTCCTTTACGTATGAAATTTGGCTTCAAATTAAATTCAGTAGCTTCCTCGTCTGGAAATGTACAAAAGATATTGTTAAATCCTTATAAGGTAAGTCAATAAAACAACCAATGCAGTCAAGGCTTGAGATACAGTGATGTATTTTACTTCACGTTTGTTTTCCTCCTCCAAAGACACACCCCGCCTATCACAGCAGCCATTGATACCAGCATTGCCAGGGCTCCGAACAAGCCAGCAGACAGAGGGGATATACTTCTGTCCTCGTCATCAAGTGACCCTGTGACAGCTGAGTAGGAATATAGTAGATAATTTGTAATGCAATCTATGAATCAAAATAAGCTATATGAAGACATATGTTTTGCAGGAAACATTCAATGCGGATGCCTGAAAAAATACTAATATTAACTGACAAAAATCTCCAGATAACATACTTCCTTTGAAGACAAAAGTAGATGCTATTCATAGAACAGTCCTTAGTTCCCCTGGAAACATAACATACATCTATATCACATATAATCAGCTCAGTAACAGTCTCCAAACAACAGAGCCGATGCCATTTGTATTAAATACCGAATATATCAACAGATCTTCAACAATGCCACTCATACTGTTGGCATTACCTGAAACGTTTCATCTACTACATGTTGTAATCATGCATCTGCAAAATCTTACCAAGTTTGCAGATGTATAGTTAAGTCTACCACTCAAACTATTTCTACAGTAAAGATCCGCTAAACGTGTGCTACAGCCTTCCAGTGAGTGAGTGAGTTAAAATTTTAAGTCACATCGGCAATATTTCAGTTATATTGTGACTAAATCCAGTTATAGTTTTATAATGATTAAAAGTAAATTTTTACAATCTGTCAACGAAGGTCAGTAAAACAACTAGATTATCACAGATGCAAATTTAAAACTAGTAATTAAATCTGAAACAGTTTAACTATTGAAGACGATACAATTTAAAAACAGGCTGCGGATCGCCAACAAATGTAGGGAGATCACCATACTAGTACAGCCTTCGAGAGCGCCATCATTGAAGAATATCAATGCCATAATACCGTTTTCCCACGTCAGCTGTCTTGGAGGACACCGGAGTATTTCAACTCTACAAGATTATGCCAAAATGTTTCTTTAAAACATCCTCACAGAGAGAGATAATTGCTTGGCCAGGCAGACGTACCGGTAAAATTACTGTCTCAAATATTATCCTTAATACCATCATAGAAGGACTTCCTCGATATCCACAAGGCTGTATGACAAATAAAGTGATTTCATCTGTCCAGCAGTCGGCTTTCCCTTCAATGTCAAGCAATATTCCCACAGCTTCAGTCTTCGGTGTTTAAAAGTCACAAATCTTGAGTTACATTCCACCATACCCGTCTACCACGATTTCAAAGAGCGTCTTCCCATTCATGCTCAAGGTTGCAACAACCAAAGGAAGCAGTAGTGAGTGAGTGAGTTTAGTTTTAAGCCGCACTCAGCAATATTCTTTCTATATGACGGCGGTCTGTAAATAATCGAGTCTGGACCAGACAATTCTGTGATCAACAGTATGAGCATCGATCTACGCCATTGGGATACGATGATATGTGTTAACCAAGTCGGCGAGCCTAACCACCCGATCCCGTTAGTCGCCTAGACAAGTATGAGTTACTGAAGACCAATTCTGACCCGAATCTGAACAGGCCAAGAAAGCGGTAACCCTTTAGTAGACATGTGGAGGACATTTCATAATTTGATGCATCAGTGACAAAAAGGAACCAATTCCCCATTATATTCTGGTGAACAAATGACTGGCCTTTGCGTATACTTTTGACAGATGTCATCGGCGGGACAGGATACACTCATCCTTTCTCGAAGACCTTGGTAGTGATTCGAAAACAAAATCCTCTGTCATCGTATCTCATCATTTCAATCACTGCATTGTCTGGTTCATTCTCGATTATTTAGTGACTGTCGTCGTACAGCATATATCGTGTGCGTGATCATGCACTAATATAGGCTGACGTGAACAATCAACTCTGATTTTAGCTGAGTTTCTCATGGAC